GCTAGGCATGGGGATCGATTTAGTGTTAGGGTTAGGCATAGGGATCCATTTAGGGTTCAGGTTAGGCATAGGGATCGATTTAGGGTTCAGGCTAGGCATAGGGATCGATTTAGGGTTAGGCATAGGGATCGATTTAGGGATACAATCGTGAAATTCGATAAAATAGTTGCAGTCGTCCATAACATTTACCTATTGTTCTGTCATTGACAGTTGTATGAAATTAAGAACGCTAATCAGAAAACATGTTTAATCTGTCCCCCAACCCCCCCCCCCCAACACCTTTTTTCCACTCTTCCTGGTTCAAAACGACTTTTTGTAAGCGTTGCCGGCCTCGTTCATGCTTCTGTAAAATAAAAGCGATGTTATCCCATTTGTTGGGCCACCGTGTCGATACTTATGTCAGACTATACTCCCAGCGTAAGAGAGTGGGTGGTCCCAATGTATAGCCATCATGTAAAGAAGGTATTTTTCTTTGATTAAATTGCTTTTGTAAATATTTTTTTAAACTGTATATTACTTACCTCATATTTTTTTTTTGTAAAAAATCAAAGTGTCATTTTTTTCAGCTTTATTTGTTTTACTTAATATGATGAAACTTAGTGTGTTCATTGTAGCACATTTGAATTTGTTTAAAAGTATATCTTGTCGTATATTTTTTTCCATTAAATATATATTTCGTAGGCCTACTGCGAAATTAACTGGGACTGATGAAGCGTTGCTTACTAAGCTCTGTCGGTATCAATACATGTTATGATGCCATATATAATGCTACTTAAAACTGTAAAATCATAAATAAAATCTAAAAAAGGCATTACATTTTAAAGGTAATTTCTTACTGGTGTCTGGATTCAAAGATGGCCAATTTGTTCTGGTTTCTTCTAGAAGGATTACCCACAAGCACGTATGACCCACTTCCGCTTTAGGAAAATCCGAAGTTGCTTGTTGACCAAAGCTAGCAGCTGTCGATGTTGCTTACTTTCGCATAAATGAAAATCCTAATTTAAGATTTCATATAAATATGTTATTTGGTAGTGTTTAAATTTTTAGTGAAAGTTAACTATTTGACATTGCATTAATTTTTGTTTTCCTTAGAAATTTTGCAACTTTAATTAAAAGTTCGAAGCACACCCTTGCAATAAATTTTAATTTTTTTCATATTTTAAATACAATGCTATTCGTATGTAAAAGTGACGTATAACATACTCGCAAATTGTGAATATTTAAGAGGTTTAGCTTCATAGCGTACGAACTCCTGGCACGAAAATCGTTCGGAAAAGGAGAACTGCTTTTTAGTTGAACGTGTTTACAAGCCCGAGTAATGTCGTCTTCACAAGATGGTCATGTATCAGAAGTCTTCCTTCTCTCTTGTCTTTTTTTGGTCATCTTACATAGGTCACAAACGTGCCTGTTTCGTTTCATGCTGTACCTTCCCCCCCCCCTATCACTTTCTTTCTGATCTTCTCATTTATTTGTTTTTTTTCTGAAAGGCTTGTGTTCTACTATTTTTTTTTTTTAATTTTATGGACATTTACTTATTTAATAGGAATTTTTATTTATATGATGTTCAATTTTATTTAGATCCATCAACTTTCTATCGTCAAAGTGCCGTATGTCTCCCCCCCACCCCACCCACCTCACACTAACCTCCCCCCCCCACCCACCTCACACTAACCTCACCCACCCCAACCCCCAAACCCTGAAGTAAAAACGCATCTGAAATTAATGCAAGCAATACCTGTCAATACCTGTCAATACCTGTCAATACCTGTCAATACCTGTCAATACCTGTCAATACCTGTCAATACCTGTCAATACCTGTCAATACCTGTTCTCTATGTAACTGTCCTCTCCTATCTGAAATGAATCCAAGCAATACCTGTTCTCTGTGTAACTGTCCTCTCCTATCTGAAATGAATACAAGCAATACCTGTTCTCTGTGTAACTGTCCTCTCCTATCTGAAATGAATGCAAGCAACACCTGTTCTCTGTGTAACTGTCCTCTCCTATCTGAAATGAATGCAAGCAACACCTGTTCTCTGTGTAACTGTCCTCTCCTATCTCAAATGAATGCAAGCAACACCTGTTCTCTGTGTAACTGTCCTCTCCTCTTGTGCCCAAAAACAAATGTGTGAGAATAATTAAGTCCAGAAATGTCAAATCAATCATTTCTTGGCCAGTATGATGGTCTAATGCATCTACATATCTCAAGTTAACCAAACTAGTTCAAATCTGGACGTGTAGACAACACAAAGGTGAAATATCGGTGCTCTGTTTAAAACTTGAAATTTTTTTTTAACTCGACCCCCCCCCCCTTTTTTTTTTAAAAAGAAATAGCATACACAAATCACAAATGGTGTTGGGCAGTAAATTGAATTTTTTTTTAAATTTTCACTTGTAAATTGGTTTATAAATCCAAGAGTCTGCCAAGTTGGTCAAGAGCATCTTAAAATTAATTCAGGCCATTTGGCCGCAGGGCTGATGCGATGCCTCGCATGTTCTCTGAGGAAGTCTCTATGATTGGGAGTGAGGCATTAAGAGGTGTAGACAGCTGTGTGAGGAAAGGCGAATCCCAAACTTGAAATACAACAACACAGGTCGGCGTGTTGGGTGGAAATTGATTATGGATCAAGTAAGCCGATGCCGCCACTACAAAGTCTAGAGAATAAAAACAACCCTATCAACATATGCAGTAGGCAAGAGCGAGTATAACCATCATTGTGAAAGGAAAATGGCATTCGATTTCGAGAAAGAAATGGGGAAATCATTTATTAAAACTATTAATTTATTTTATTGTGTGCATTTACTAAAAATCTCTACACATGAATGAGGTGTTATAAAAATTGATTGTTATGCGTAAAAGATAATTTATCGTTAGCCTCTTGTCGGATAACTTACACGTGAATAGTTCCGAGAATGGCATTTTATTATGTCGACTACGGCATTAAATTATGATTTGCACCTATGAAAATAAACATATTTTGTTTCTCTCTACGAAATTTCTTTTCTTTAATTATTTTAAGTTAAAAAGACATCCGACACAAGAATTTCATAATTCAACTAAAATTTTCTTTTTTTAAATTTTTTTTAGATTTAAATATAAAAAAACACCTTTTTTCAATATTATTTAAACAGTTTTTTGGCGTCGTGCATTTCCTTAGTTGATCCCTTCTTTAGGTCAGGTCAGGGGCTAATATATAAAACAGACGTTATTAGACTTAACCTTCACATTTTACCATCCTGGGCTGCAATTTAATTGAATGAGGAAGAACCAAAACACAAAGCTGGAAGGATAACTGAAATTCCCCATGTTCCTAGAGTTGTTCTTCCCAGTGCTCACTGCTCCAAACAAATTACACACTTTCAATCTGATCATTACCAGATTTTGACCACTTTTGACACCAACTTTACAGAGGGAATTTTCAATCTCAAACAAACTTTAATTCACTATGTTCAAACAAACAAACAATAAAGCGCTCGCTCATACGCTGAAATGAGTTGCATTTTTTTTCTTAATCCCAATAAATAGAAATCGTTCATTTCATTGTACAAATTAGTTTTCAACATATTGAAAAGAAAGTCAAAGCTCAGATCTCACATATAACTGTTTATTAAAAACAATTATTTTTTTTTAAATTATAAAATATATGTACAACCAGTGAATGGTCCACGTATATCTCAACAGGATATTCTTGCCCTTCTCCTTACAAAAATATATCAACAAGCTCCCAAAAGCAACAGTTGAGGCGACTACACTTGATACATTTGCAGCTTTTGCCTCCTGTCTTGCAAACCCAGTTCATGAAACCCTTACTGGGTAGCCCTTGCAACCAGTGAAGTATTCCCTTGAAAACCATGCACAGTAACATCGCGAACCCCTCTGAAACATAGAAGCTACTCCCATGCCACAAATCTTCCTAAGTTCCTAACATTTTTACTTACATTGTTCCCTACTGTGCTAATTAACATACTGAGAATTACATTTATTGAAAACTATTTTAAATAGTAGTTTTAAAGAAATAAATGCCGTTTCTTTCTTCTATAAATCAAAGGAAAATTAATCTCAAAGCGATTTCTTATAAAAAAAAATCTAAGCTAAAATATTCCTTTCCGCTTTACAATAATTTAAAATTTGAACTGTCCCAATTTCAACACATTTGGAGCTTATTTTTTTTAACACCATTATAATCTAGTATTTTAATTATTTCATTAAATGAAAATACAGCCACAGTTGCGTAAGGCACATACAAGTTCATGTTTTCAATCAACATAATATTATTTTTGCATTGTGTCGAATTACTTCACTCTGGTGACTAAATGAGCTTTTTTAAGAGAGAAATTATTTGAATTCAATTTTATTTTATTTAATTTTGTTTTAATTTAAAGTGGCTTGCCCATGAATTCAATTTTATTTTATTTAATTTTGTTTTAATTTAAAGTGGCTTGCCCATGTTTTCAATTTGTTAGCTAAGATAATGTCAACAGTGAATCTGACACTCATTACAGTAATAATGATATTCACGAATTATAACAAATTGCTTAAGAGTAAAAGGTATATTTAAAATTAAGTAAAATGCATAGAAAGACATTTTTAAATAAAAAAATAGCAAACTTTGATACTTCGAGGGCTGAGGTAGTTGTAGACTCGTAACAGCAAGCTTACTTTGCTTAACGTTATTGACTTAGTAGTTAAGCCTAAGAATTTTACTGCAGTGGACTTAGGAGTATGTGAAGACTAGAATTTATCTCGAGTATTTATGTGTGCAGGAAAAATGAACAGGTCACTGCCCACAGAGCCCACCTCAAGGCCAGATGAGGATGTTGTGGTGGTGGGCAACTATTGTAGTCATAGCACCCCTGGACTCAATGCAAGTAATTCAAGTTACATTGTCTTAACATATTCTTGCATTATATTAACGTATAGTAAATTTACAAGATGAATAATTTTACCCCACCCCCCTAAAAATATGAAAAACAAAAGGAACAGTCTCCCCCCCCCCAACCCCATCCCCACCAATTTTAACAAGGTCGACAAAGGAACTGCCTTGAATTAATTTTTATCTTGCTGATCTTCCTCGGAATCCTCTATATTGAGTAATGCAGGTGAAATTTCTGAAATTACAATATGATTTGTTAACGAACATAATGGTGTAATTAAATATTGTTATTAAATTAAAAGAATTAAATAATTCTAAATACTGTTAAACGTTATCTCCGCTGTTAACTTCAACGAATTAATTGTTATTGTTTATGCTTTATATGGACTTTATTCGTTTTAAAGGTATAATAAAGTGAATACATTTAAATAGTTGGTCGTTTTCTAGCATTTTTACACATGCACGGCAGATAACATAAAAGTTAAAAAAATAAAGTCACTCTTCAAGCTTCACTCCCTTGATATCCCGAGGAAACATGTAAAAGATATAAGCTTCACTCCCTTGATATCCCGAGGAAACATGTAAAAGATATGTAAAACTTGTAGGAAAAAATACTAACTTTAAAAAAAATGCAGCCTTAAATGTAACTGCTGTTAAACATAGGGGCTTTGTTGGACTATGTGCGTTGTCATTTGAACAAAGCTACGCACCTCTACTCCTAGTATCCTAAACATAGACGGTTGGCTGATCTTGAAGAATGCCTATGAAGGGTCTAAAACCTTGCGTATTCGTTGAACTGTTTGTTACCAATTCACCTGAAAATTTCAGCAACAAAATAATAATTTTTTTTTTTTTTAATTTATAAATAGCATCTGCAGTTAGAAGATCTGCGCAGAGATTAATTGTTCCACCGTGCGTTCTGTAGTAAAAAAAAATGAAAATTCTGAAACTGGGGATAGAGCAATATAATTAAAGATATTTTTTTTTCAATTGCGCATCAATCCTTCAAGTTGATCCTTAATCTGTGATATCTCCCGGACGGTACAATTCACAGTCCAGTGATCACTTTCATACCAACATATGTACCGTCATAACCAACTAGATATCAGCACCTGAACCGTTAGCACTACATGGGTATGAACCCATCGTACAGTCATTGCCCTTAAGATACCAGCAATTTTAGAGTCATTGCCACCAAGATACCACCACCTGTACAGCCATTATCACTTAGATAGCACATTCATTACCACAAAGATACCCGCCATTGTACATTCATTAACACATAGATACCGCCCATTATACTGTCATTACCACTTAGATACCAGAAATTGTACAGGCATCACCACATAGATACCAGCCAGTGTACAGTCATTACCACATTGATACCAGCCATTGTACAGTCATTCCCAAATAGATACCAGAAATTGTACAGGAATCACCACATAGATACCAGCCAGTGTACAGTCATTACCACATAGATATCAGCCATTGTACAGTCATTACCACATAGATACCAGCCATTGTACAGGCATCACCACATAGATACCGCCCATTGTACTGTCATTACCACATAGATACCAGCCAGTGTACAGGCATCACCACATAGATACCAGCCAGTGTACATGCATCACCACATAGATGCCAGCAATTGTACAGGCATCACCACATAGATACCAGCCATTGTACAGGCATCACCACATAGATGCCACTACCTACTGTACAGTTATTATCACCGAGATAAAACCACCCCAACCGGCATTACCGCTTAGATTCCATCTTCTTACAGTCATAATCCCACCATTTTTGAAACAAATCTTCTTAAGCTATCTAATCCATAAGTAAAAATAATAGGGTGGGGGAACCCCCTTCCTTCCCCCCCCCCCACATACACACACACACACACACGTACATAAGTACCGACGATCAGAGGTTGAAAAAGATTTCATTATGGTAGAAAAAGAGATTGAAAGAGTTGCAAAAGATAGCAAGAGACCGGAAGTTGTGGAAATAATTTCTTTTTGAGGTTCATGTGTCCCATTTGGAGTTGACTACTGCAAAGCAAAGAAGAAGAAATTGGATAGATAGGCTTAAGTCAAAGCAGAAAGCTTATTCGACTTTCTTTTATTATTAGTTTAAAAATATATAAAAACAGGACACTAAACTTAACACTAAACTTAACATTACCTGTAAAAAGATTGATCCTGTTTTGTTGTCTCCTTGGATTCCTAGAAACATGTGAGCGGTGTCTAATATCTAGAAGAAAACACAAATGAAAGCACATGTCAGAATAAGAGAATCACTGTCTTTTATTTATTTTATAATTTATTTTTTTTTAATAAATATTTTTAAGGAAAACAAAACTTTTTTTAAAACACAACTTTAATAAATATGCGTCCATCATTATTATTTGATTTACATTTAAATTTCAGTATTTATCTTCTTCCGACAAACAAGGTAATTATTAAAAATCATTTTTCACTTCGTCAAAGGTGTTTTTTTTTAGTTTTTTTTTAAAGAATAATAACCATGACTTGAATTGTAGGTTCATCGCTTCCCTTTTAAAATGTAAATTAGAATTACATAGCCGATAATAATATAGTCACCAATAGCGTGTAAAGGCACCTCAGAAGAAAGATTACAGTTATCACTATCTCATTTTGCAAAAAGGGGTTGCATTCAAATCGTTTCAGAAAATATTTTAAGTCATGGCAACATTTTGACCGGCGAGTCATAGAATTAAAACTTTTGTTTTTAACAAATTAATTTTGATGTGTGTGAGCCTATCGATATCGCAAAAACTGTTGCAAAGTTCTGGATCCATCCGAATGGAAGGATTTGGTGGGGCAGGCCAGGGCCCTACGTGGGCAGTAACGCCACTGAAGATGACGATGGTGTAAGGTGCTGGGACATCGTTTCATTGGTTTGAGCGGTAACCATGGCAGCTGCGGACATGTGGACAGTGCTGCTTGAAATTAAATAATCTAACAAGCAGAAGCAATATTTTTTTACTAAATTATAGTTTACTGATCTTTACTGCTTTAAAATAAATATTTCAGAAAGCAGAAACATGTTTTCTGTACGAAATATATATGACACAGGTTAGGTAAAGAGCAAACTATTCGGCAAGAAGTTCTGGCAGTGAAAATCACAAAATAAGGATCTAAAAATAACTTTATTATTTTTATTTTTTTAAATAATATAAAAACCTATGTGTACTTTCAAAAAATATTGAAATTTAACTTTGGATTATTAAGTGAATGAACATAGGTTAAAAAGGTGAAAAAAAGACAGTAAAAGGAATTAGACCACGATTCGTTCTAAAACAAATTGGCAGCTGAGAAAGATTCAACATTTGAAAGATAATAATATAAGAATCATAACCGTGACTCTGTGTTTACATATTTCATCTAACTTCATCATGATCGCGCTTCTCCCCCATATTCAATTATTTTATTGTCAGCCTTTTTTTTATCTAGTTTCTACATGTTAATTTTAAGAAGCACCATTTGGGGTATTTTCAGTTGTGTTGACTTTCTCTTATAAAAAAAAAATGTGTAAAGATTTTATAACTTAGAGCAACAAAATGTGAATATTTACCGTTCACGCCGACGTTTGGGGCGGTCACGTCTATATTTGGGGATGACGACTCCACGAAATGACGGTCATTTCTATGCGATAAAGAGGTTGCAATCTCTGAAGCCTCAACGTGCTCGAGCTGAATGTGTGGTGATGCAACTGTGGGTTGGATTTGTTTAAACAAATTTTTTTTTATAGTAATACGAATAGACAGTTTCAATTCTTTTTTTTTATAGTAATACGAATAGACAGTTTCAATTCTTTTTTTTAATAGTAATACGAATAGACAGTTTCAATTCTTTTTTTTTTATAGTAATACGAATAGACAGTTTCAATTCTTTTTTTTTATAGTAATACGAATAGACAGTTTCAATTCTTTTTTTTTATAGTAATACGAATAGACAGTTTCAATTCTTTTTTTATAGTAATACGAATAGACAGTTTCAATTCTTTTTTATAGTAATACGAATAGGCAGTTTCAATTCTTCTTTTTTTTATAGTAATACGAATAGACAGTTTCAATTTTTTTTTTATAGTAATACGAATAGACAGTTTCAATTCTTTTTTTTTATAGTAATACGAATAGACAGTTTCAATTCTTTTTTTATAGTAATACGAATAGACAGTTTCAATTCTTTTTTTATAGTAATACGAATAGACAGTTTCAATTCTTTTTTTTATAGTAATACGAATAGACAGTTTCAATTCTTTTTTTTATAGTAATACGAATAGACAGTTTCAATTCTTTTTTAAAATAGTAATACGAATAGACAGTTTCAATTCTTCTTTTTTTATAGTAATACGAATAGACAGTTTCAATTCTTCTTTTTTTATAGTAATACGAATAGACAGTTTCAATTCTTCTTTTTTTATAGTAATACGAATAGACAGTTTCAATTCTTCTTTTTTTTATAGTAATACGAATAGACAGTTTCACTTTTTTTTTATAGTAATACGAATAGACAGTTTCAATTCTTCTTTTTTTTATAGTAATACGAATAGACAGTTTCAATTCTTCTTTTTTTTATAGTAATACGAATAGACAGTTTCAATTCTTCTTTTTTTATAGTAATACGAATAGACAGTTTCAATTCTTCTTTTTTTTATAGTAATACGAATAGACAGTTTCACTTTTTTTTTTATAGTAATACGAATAGACAGTTTCAATTCTTTTTTTTTTAAATGTGTGCATCTAACGCCCGTGTGTTTCTCAGAAATTAAAACGATGACTTACTTTGAAGAAACGAGAAGAGCGCAAAAAAAAAAATATGCTATGATACGTGTGAAAGTTCACTTCAGTAAATTTTGAAGGATCCACGATTTATAGGATCTAAATCACATCTAATTTATTGATAGTTTCCTCTGAAATAAAATTTAAAGTTGGATTTTTAGAGACGATAGATTATCTTCATCAGAAATGGTAATTCTATAATTTTAAAATAATTGCCCGCTCATTCCTTTCGTTAACTACTACCACCACTTTACCGGTTTTAAAATTGCCCTTACCATTGGATTCGGACATTTAACACGCTGTTGTGCATGCAAACAACAGTTATATTATTCGTTCTTCTTTTACTTCCTCACCAATGCTCCCCATCGGTGGTGAAGACAAAAGTCGATGGTCACGGTGTCTCCGACCAGACGGTAATGCTTCCTCTCGGAACTCAACTGGATTGTGAACCCCTTCTCCATGTGAAAGAAAAGGTAGCAAATTTAAAAACTGTCAAGTTTTGAAATTTAAAAAAAAAAATTAAAAAAGAAACTAAAATACGAAAACACAACACTTTTATGTTTTGTGATGTGTATCTGTAATGTGTATCTATAATGTGTATCTGTAATGTGTATCTGTAATGTGTATCTATAATGTGTATCTGTAATGTGTATCTATAATGTGTATCTGTAATGTGTATCTGTGATGTGTGTCTTTAATCTGTGTATGTAATGTGTATCTGTAATGTGTATCTGTAATGTGCATCTGTAAGGTGCATTTGGGTGAGGAAACTGGCCCTCTTATTTTCCACATTATTTAAACTCGAAAATTTATGTTTAATTTTAATACAATTTCTTGTAATTTAACATGTTTCACTTGGAAACAATAATTATTGTTTTTTATTACCTGAAAAAATTCAACAACAAAAATGAATAAAGCACGAAAATGTTACTGAAATTGTAGGCTCCAAGGGGAAAACAAGTGATGTTAACTTTTTTCGAGATTTGTTTAAGTTATCTCCCCTGTGGCTGTATGCTCTTCAATAGAATAATTTAGCGCAAGAGGCCCGACTGAAAAAGAAGCGTTATCAATTAATAATAATCATTATTAATATTGTTTCCAAGTGAAACACGTTTAATTGCAAGAAATTGTTTTAAACATATAAACATTCGCGTTAAATTAATGTTGAACATAAGAGGGCCAGTTTCCTCACCAAAATACACATTCCAGATTACACATTCCAGATTACACATTCCAGATTACACATTCCAGATTACACATTCCAGATTACACATTCCAGATAACAAATTCCAGATTACACATTACAGATTACACATTACAGATACACATTACAGATTACACATTACATATACACATTACAGATTACACATTCCAGATACACATTCCAGATTACACATTCCAGATTACACATTACAGATACACATTACAGATTACACATTACAGATACACATTCAAGATTACACATTACAGATACACATTACAGATACACATTACAGATACACATTACAGATACACATTACAGATACACATTCCAGATTACACATTACAGATACACATTACAGATACACATTACAGATACACATTCCAGATTACACATTACAGATGCACATTACAGATACACATTACAGATACACATTACAGATACACATTCCAGATTACACATTCCAGATACACAATACAGATACACATTACAGATACACATTACAGAAACACATTTCTGATACACATCATAGATACATATTACAGATGCACATTACTGGGCCCCCCCCCCCCTTCTATTCTGGTAGTTATCTCGACATCCAAGCTACACTCGTTTCCAGATACACAATACAGATACACATTACAGATACACATTACAGAAACACATTTCTGATACACATCATAGATACATATTACAGATGCACATTACTGGGCCCCCCCCCCCTTCTATTCTGGTAGTTATCTCGACATCCAAGCTACACTCGGCTAAAATGTCCCCTCTTTTGATACACATTTATTCTCATACTTTGTATTCAGGGCATGGAATAAAAATTTTCTTGACATGAATTATTTTCATTTCTCATGACCCACTCTATAATGAATCTTGGTCATTAATTTCCTTAAAAATGTTGGGGAAAAAAAATTGATCCCCAATAAAAAAGATTAAATCAAATTGTCTGATTTTACATTAGGAATCAATAATTGTTCAGATCTTAAAATTTCTATTTAAAATTAGAACATATTTTTTTTCAAAATTATTAACGTTTTTAAAGTTCAGCTTCCTCTCAAAGAAATTAAAACATATGTCTAAGTAGTGCAATACTTACCTATAAAGGTATGGTAGTAGACCGAAATCAGTTGGTTCCACCAGGTAGGGTTTACCTCCAAGTCGTAGAACGCTTCCTGCCCACTTTCAATGTCTCTGAGCCTAGAACGTAAATCGCTTTTTAGAACGTGCGGTTGTGGAAATATAAAGGATATATTTATTTTTATTTTTTTTTATATATTAACTAAATGTTTACATTTCCCACAAAAGAATTACAAGAATTTCGATTTTTAAAAACGTAGTTTGCTAAAAAAAAAAAAAAAAAAAAGTTTTTTTTATTTTATTATAAAATAAAAAACAGAAGTACCTTTTTAAAACCCAAAATAATTTTTAAATAAAAAAGTTAATTTTTTTTTTTTTTTTTTTTTTTTTTTTTTTTTTTNCGATAAAGCGGGCAATTTTTCGTTTAAAAAAAAAAAAATTAATCAGCCGTTATCTTTCGTTCTTACTTTATTGTTTTCACGTTGTTTTACGTGTGCAGTAGACAACAAATTTCAGGCATAGTAAAAATAACAACCCCATTTGAGGATGCGATGAGCATTGTGAATCTGCCATGCATTGAAAGTAGGCATTTTTAAAAAATATTATATGACACTATGCCAAAGACCAAATTTGTATGTTTGCCATCAACAATACGGTTTTCTCTACCACCAGAAATCAGGCACCAAAACATTCAAAACTTTTTATGTGACACCTAGCTCTTAAGAGTTAAAAATAAAATACTGGCATTACCAAACATCATATTGGTGGGTATACTATTACCAAAACGATTTTCTCTACTACCAGAAATGACTGCTTTCGGGGCACATTGTGCCATGACAAAAATCTGAATTCATGTGTTTGAACTTTGACTCAATTGTAAGTACGCTACAACATAAAGTTAAACATTAATTTAACATTGATGGATCATCTAAAAAAAAATAATAATATTCTTTAGGACTTCTAGAAGCAAGCAGAAGTTAATGGCACATTTTGGTGGTCAGACATAGCTTAAAATAATTGCAATGCACAAAATCAAATATCGAGGATTGAAAGAGTGCAAAACAGTTATTTGAATCCTGTGAGGAATCGATGATACAGAATTTCTGTATATCAATCATGAGGAAATTAAATCCTAGAAAAATTACCACAATTACATTTCTTATTTCTTCACACTGCTGTTGTTGTGCTGGGGAAGACGTTGGAGTTGTTTTTTGTTAATGTCTTTAAATATTGATGAGTGAAGTAGAAATATTACACAAATATCTGGAGGGATGTTAAAGCAAATTATGATGGGGGGGGGGGTTGCATGCTGCAGGCAGGTTGGCTAAAACGAAATATGTGAAACACGGTATGGGAAAAAATCTGAAAAATAGGTATGCTACAAAACATCGAACGTGTCGAGAGGAAGCCTTATTCGGTGAACAAACAACATTTAAACACATTTATAAAATCAAAATGAACACATAGAGTATACTATCAACAAGACGGTCTTCTCTACTACCAGAAATGACTGCTTTTTGGGTGCATTGAGTCGTGACAAAAAATGTGAATTCATTCGTTAAGAGGATGTGAAATAGGCCGTCAGTAGGTAAGAGAGTAAATAAATATGGGCAATAGTGGAAGAAAGGGAAGACAAAATATTGTTGTGTTGATGTGTGAGAATAAGTTTAATCATGTCCCCATAGTCACTCGAACGAGACCAAAGGGCAGCAGCACGATTAATACTTTATCAACCGGTTGAAGGGCTGACGAAAGCATTGTCTCCGGGAAGGAGATACACCAGAAATAGGCTGTCATCTTAGGGGCTATGTCCCCAAAAGTCCTCCTCAGACTTGCGAAGTCGACGAAGACGAAGTAATTGAGAAAAGGGAATAGAGTCCTGACAGGAGTTTGGGTGGGAGGAAGAGTAGAGTAGATAGATGTGGCTCTCAGTGGCTTTAATGCAGGCGATGGTGAGTAGGCAGTCTTTGTGAATGGTGGACGCAATCTCCAAAATGTTAACTTACAATTCAGAGACCTCTTAGGTGAACTTAAAGGAGAGCTAAAACTAGCCTACAAAGTTGATGAACAGGCCAAGTTCACTCATCTCCACTTTGGTTACCCCAATACCATCATCAATGTACCGTTGTAAAATTCAAGGTTTGACCCAGTGTAGTCTCTCCATCATGTGTTCAAAATCTCAGATTTAAAAAAAAAACAACTTAACCCTGTTCCATTTTAGCCCCCATAGTCAGCACTAATGATTGGGTCGAAGAACTCAAACTGAGTTAAACTCAAACGAACTGAGAGTGATTTCAGCCAAGGGGAGGATGGCCCTGTAGGTACAAATGGATAGGGTATGCGCTCAATAAAATTTTTAATGCTAGTAGACCGTTAGTACAATGGTTAGAAGTATACAGAGATCATAAATCAAGCATAAATAGATTATTTTTTTCTTTTTAAAAGGGTTGAATATGGATTTTAAAAAGCTCTCAAGGCATGGTTGGTATAATTGATATGAGTAGGCAGTGGAACTATGATGTGTTGGAAGAACTCCCTCAAGGAATTCCCAGACATGCCTAGTGGGGCAGGAGCATGCTGAATTAATGGATGCACCTGGGCTACCGTAGTTGGGTATTTATTAAGAAGATAGAAACATGCCTTGCAGATCACAATATATATCAAAGATATGTAAAGCAGATAGCGGTTTAGGGAGTGACGATTCAGCGATCAATTTATTTATATTTTTTTAATGATAGAGTAAAACAAACACAAAACGACCATCCGAAGGAGTTACAAATGGAAGGCGTAATAAAAGGAATAACGCCATGCTTTACACATTAGCCGGTCTAAACCACTTACTGTTAAAAGAGCTTATTTACTTCTTGCAGCTCTGTGACCAGAGTGCAGACTTGGTTTTGATTAAACCATTACAAAGTCTCACTTGCATGTGTTGCGGATCTTCAATTTGGTTTGAAACAAGAAAAACGGATAAAGAGGAAGAGGAAATTATGGCAAGGCTTAGGGCAGATAAACATACAACTTCTTTTTTTTTTTTTTTGTTGCTTGATTTTGTTGCTGTTTTTTTTTTTTTTTTGTAATTTTTTTTTTTGTGTTTTTCCGTGGTTTTTTTTTTTTTTTGGTTT